AGATTAGTAGTGGGAATGTAAATTGGTATAGTCACTGAGATTGGAAAACGGTCTGTTAGTTCCTCAAAAAGTGAAACATAAAGTCACATATGAGGCAGCAATTGCACTCCTAGTTATATCAGCAAGAAAATTAAAAACAAATGTTCACTCAAAAACATGTGCATAAATGTTCACAGCAGCATTATTCATAATAGTGAAAAAGTGGAAACGTCCCAAACAGCCATCCTTTGATAAGCAGATAAACAACATGTGGTGCAACTATAAAATGGAATATCATTTGGCCATAAAAAGAAGTGAAGTACCAATGCATGGTACAACAAAGATGAACCTTGAGAACTTTGTGATACGTAAGAGATGCAGATGCAAAAGGCCACGTTGCATTATGCCATATACAGGAAATGTCCAGTACAAGTATATCCAGAGAGAGAGAGAGAAGGTAGATTAGTGGCTGACAGGGACTGCAAAAACGGTGAAATTGGAGAGTAACTGTCAGAAAGTACAGGCATGCATTTTGGCATTAAAAAAGTATTCTGGAGGCCAGGTGCAGTGGCTAATGCCTGTAATTCCAGCACTTTGGGAGGCCGAGGCGGGTGGATCACGAGGTCAAGAGATAGAGACCATCCTGGTCAAAATGGTGAAACCCCGTCTCTACTAAAAATACAAAAAATTAGCTGGGCATGGTGGCACATGCCTGTAATCCCAGCTACTCAGGAGGCTGAGGCAAAAGAATTGCCTGAACCCAGGAGGCAGAGGTTGCGGTGAGCTGATATCGGGCCATTGCATTCCAGGCTGGGTAACAAGAGCGAAACTACATCTCAAAAAAAAAAAAAAGTATTCTGCAATTCGGTAGTGGTGATGCTTGCAAAACCTTTGGAATACAGTAAAAGATGCTGAATGGTATGCTTAAAAATGGTGGATTTTTTTCTATATGAACTATACCTTAGAAGATTATGCTTTAGAAGTGAAAATATAACAGTAATAAAGTGAGGTGTCTTTCCACATTCCATATGCTGTATTTTTATTTTTATTATTATTTTTTAAAAAGCATTTTAGAACCACATTTAGTGGCTTTCTTCTGTAATCCCAGCCCTTTTGGATGCCTAGGTAGGAGGATTGCTTGAAGCCGGAAGTTCTAGACTAGCCTGAGCTAAATAGCAAGACCTTATCTTTACAAAAAATAAAAAAGTTATCAGAAATGGTGATGTGTGCCTAGAGTTCCAGCTACCTGGGATGTTCAGAGAGGAGGATCACTTGAGCCCAGGAGTTTGAGGTTGCAGTGAGCTCTAATCACCACTGCACTTCAGCCTGGGTGACAGAAAAATACCCTGTCTCAAAAAGAGGCATCTCACGGTAATAGTAAGTGGTTAGAATAGGATGCTGCCAGCATGTTGTGAGGAAGTAAATTAAATGCTGAACTTTTGTTTTTTGGGTTTTTTTTTTTTTTTTTTGGCAGAATTGAGATACAGGGGAGAGAAACATCTACTTGGAAAAAGCCCACACAACTGAGTTGGAAAATGTGGGAAGAGGTTTGTGGGAGAGGGACTGTACCTGAGATCTGGCTCCAGTACTTACAGCAAAGGGAAGTTGGGCAAGTTACAGACCCTCTGTGCCTTGGTTTTGTCACCAACAAAACAGAAAGAGTCATCCCATAAACTGTGGTATCAGAGGGTCCCCAAACTGACTGCACATCTGAGTCACGTTAACAAACACCTTCCGGGCCCCGCCTGAGCTCACTGAATCAGAATCCCTGCAAGGAGGACAATAAACTTGTATTATCACTGACCTTCCCAGGTGTTTCTTACTCTGATCAACTTGGGGTTAGTAACCATTGAGCTGCATCACATCATTACAAACCAAAACACAAAAGCAGAGCAAGAATATTTTCAATGCAGTCACTACAGCTGAGGAGAAACTGTTGGGGGAACGTGGAAATGAGGGAGATCTGGCTTTCTGGGCTCTCCTGAACCTTAGCCTGAGTACAGCAGACACAGGAGTCCTTCTGGACACATGCCTGTGGGCATGGCAGTCCAGTATTGAAAGAGTGGAAGCCCTAGTTTCAAATTCAAGCTTGCTTTGAGTAGAAATAAAGTTTACCTTTTTTGGCACAGCAACAGGACCAACCTTCTGCAAACTGCTCACCTTACAAGAAAAAAAAAATCATACTGCCAAGAATTCAAACTTCAGCAGACCTGGGTAAGTAAAAAAGTCTTATAACTCTAACCAGCCACATAACAAGAAACCAAACATTTAGCAAGTTTTTTCACATTCAGGAAGCTGTGTTCACTAGATCAGAGGCACTGAGATGTGAGGAATAAATCCCCTAAAAAGGGAAAGCATTCCTTCCTGTCCTAGGACATCACAGCCAAGCTCAGAAAGGTGGGAACCCAGCTGCTCACTCTGCGGTATGGGTTGCTTTTGTATCTGGAATGTGTCTGACATCCTGAGACCTGGACCCATTTCAGGGAGCTTTGGGAGGAGCGTGAATCACTGATGGAATTGGACAGTGTGTGGAGATGCTTCAGCAGGACAAGGGTAAGTGGAGGGGCACGGCCAGGTCACAGTGAGAGACAGTGAGCCGCGCTGATGGGGATGATCGAAGATTAAAAAGAAAAGTTTGTGCTTCCACTTCAGAAACTGAAACCAGTAACTCATTTGCTCTTATAAATAATAACAAGTATTCTCCTATTTACATAAGAATTTAATCTCAAAATAGAAATCAGAAAATTATTAAGTCCAGGACATAAAACTTAAACTATAGCTGATGTTTATTCTTTCTAAATAGAGCTAAGAATAAAATCTTCTTCATAAAATATCTATCATTATTATAAAAAGGCAGAAGTCTTAACGAGAATCATTGCTACTCAATAGAAGAGTGAATTAAATACAGTCAAGGGCAGATCCAAGTCTCATACTTCTATTGTATATTCCAAATTTCCAGGGAAATTCCAGGTGCTAGAGGCTATTTCCTGCGCTGTTAAAGCAAGGTGCACACACTTCTGAATTTTGGTCCCAATACTCTAGGAGGGAACACATAGGTCTTGGAAAATGATACAAGAATGAACATTCTTCTCATGACTCATTGTGGTCCTTCAACCGGAACCACAGAAACAAAAAAATGGAACTATGGTCAAATAAATGATTTGGTTATCCCTCTTCTTTTTTTCAGTTGCATTTTAGGTTTTGAGGTACATATGACAAACAGGCAAGATTGTTGGATAGGTACACACGTGGCAGTGTGATTTGCTGCCTTCCTCCCCCTCACCTATATCTGGCACTTCTCCTCATAGGCTATCCGTCTTTAGGTTTTTACTTGTTTCTTACAGATGATAACAATGCCTTAAGGATTATGATGAAAATATGATATCCAAATATGTGTACACTTTTGAAAAAAATGCCTAGTACAAATTGGTCAGTGAATAATTATGGAATAATCATGTGAATCTTTACTGAAATATACAGATTCTCTGAACAATTTCTGAATAATCATTGTGATTGCTTTATTTGCAGTGCTCAAAACTCATCACTGTTTAACCTCAAGTAAATCACATAACTTTGTGAACTTGCAGTTTCATCATCTGCAAAATGAAGAAACTTGAGAGATTTTCATTCTGACACAGAATGTCAGGTCTTCCAGACACCAGAAAATAATGTATTTACAGCCTGTGATACATCTCAAAGCACTGTCATTACACAGTGTAGCTGGAGGATGGTGCAGGCTGCTGAGAGGCACGTTTTCAAATGGGATTGACCCAGTCCTTCCTTCACTTCTACCTGAATGCTGGGTAGCCTATGTTACACTCATCCCACCTTCAACTCACGCAAGCCCGGCAGCCAAACTTAGGAGACCCGGGTACGGGACCATCTTCCAAGTGCTAGCCTCACGATCTAGATAAGAAAGAAAGCTGAGAAAGTGAAGAGGTCCCTGTCATCCAACTAATCTTCTACTGCACAGGAACACTGAGGATCATCAACCACCCCGACCATGACCAGGATCTTGCCAGGTTCTGTTAGTGGAAGGCAACAACATATCAATGGTGTTATAGTAACTATCTATCTATCTATCTATCTATCTATCTATCTATCTATGTATATCTCCAACAATACTCCGTAAGAAGTGTTCATGGCCCTGTTCCTTTCAATACATGGGAACATTAGATGAAAACAAAAAAATAGAATCATGTTTACAAGACTTCCCAAAATATATGTTCACACATGTTTTCAGGGGATATACACAAATGATTTTGATCACTTGATACCTTGAAAAGAGCTCTCATGGGACACAATGATATTGGTAAGTGACAAGTATGAAACGAGTGTTCAGTGACATTAAGGAAACAAATCAACCCACAGATAGAGGAAGAGCTTTGCGCATAAGGATGTGAAATGGTCTTAAGTGTAATGAAAAACCAAGATGCTACCTCAGTCAGAGAAAAAAAATCAACATAATAATGGGTTACATTGAGGAGAATACTGAGCCAGGGGAGAAGATATTTTTAAAAATAAATTATTGATTAACTTTTCAGTAGATATAGAAGAAAATGCAGAACCCAGAAGGTACCATGACAGTCTAAAATTTTGATATCATTTATTTGTGGAAAAGCCTTAAGATCTCTTTGAACCAGAGCAGGTGGGGTGAATTCCTGACTACCACTAAGAAAACGTAACTTCGTGGGAAACTATCTCTACCTTGATGATTTTATACACACAAGATGAACAACAAGGAATATGCTTAGATGTACTGAGAAAGAGGTGAGTCTGCAGCACTGTCAAAAAGGTGCACAAATACTGAGAGACTGCCGAGGAAATGGTCCCCATCAGTGACTCGCAGGTGAGACCGGGGGCCTTGGGTTTCAGCACAGCCTGGGCAATTGGAATGCAGGGCTCCTGAGAGTCCATGACACCCCCACCTTCGAATTCTGTTATTGCAACAGCAGATGGTTACCTGGCACGCTGGCTCTGACCTCCCTCACTCTTGTCAGAGGCAGAGCTACGAGCAGTACCTTTGGCTCTGAGCTCAGGACTCATAAACCCTGTTTTTACGGTTAAGGACCCCCAACGACTGTGTTGTGTGGATCAAGTACTTCTCAACTGTAAGTTAACAATTCCAGCTGTTGTCATCCCTCAGTCCTGACGAAACCTAGTTGATTTCACTAGTTTTTGATCCATCATGTACTTGGGTTTCTTCTCCCCAGTCCCTGTTTGAACTCTCCTGCCACAAATTTCAGCAAGGTTCTAAATGCCACACATTTGTCCCATGACAGGACAGAGATGAATATACTAGAAACCAACCAGAAATTGTGCTCCCAGCTGGCAGAGAGCCAACAGCAGTTTGAAGACCTCAAGGAGAAATTTCTTACAAGTCAAGCTACTGCCTACTCACTGGCCAAGCAACTGAAGAAATATGGTAAGTTCTATAGATTCACCATCACAAAAGAGATGAATCAGCACCTGTCTTCTCTCTGAGATACTGAACAGTCTCTTCATCAAAATTAATTTCATCATTTCCTTAGTTCTAAGAAAACAGAAATGGGTATTTTAACTTCATTGTGTTAAGAATGGGAAACAGAGGCACTACGTATTTAGCCACTCTTCCACATTAGCAGTCCGATGTGAGGTGGGACTAGAGTTAAAATCCTGCTTACTGACCTCTGACACAGGCAAGGAACCACTTGCTCTTCTCAGCAAGATGCTCAATCATGTTTACGAGAACGCTCTCTGTACCCTAGAAGATCCTGCAGACAAATAACATCTAGTCTGTTGGTCTAAAGGCCCGGAACTAACCAACTGCCATTCCGTTTAAGCTTCCTTTAGGCCCAATAGGCAAACCTCTCTTCAGGGAACCCCAGAGAAAGGTGGCAACAGCACAGAGTACCTGCTCTAAGGAGCTTAAAGAGGAGACTGCTCCCAATAGTAATGGTGGCATCCGTAAGTAACAGCATGAAGAGCCGGGAGTACCCTGGAGAGAGGGAAGTCCTGCTTCCTGGGACACAGGCTGTTTTTCTGAAGAGGAAGGAAGATGGCACGTAAGACGCTAAGGAGGCAGCTGTCCTGTGTGTAGAGGAGGGGGCCTGGGCCAGTCTCCTGGGCTTGATCCAAGTGGCCTATCTTCTCTGTGCCTCAGTTTCATCATCTGTTCATTGGATACTATAGTAATACCTACCTTTGTAACTTGCTGCAATGAATTACATGACATGTTTCTTCTCAATCTCCTAGAACAACTCTTGGAACAGAGTAAACACTATCTATTAATTCTTCATCCTACTCTTTCTACCTTAATTCAAACCTTATTAGTATTTGGTCATATTTCTATGATGACCTCAGGGCCTTAGACCTCATATTTATGCAATTATATTCAGATATGACTTTTAAAATCTTTGACATATTTGTGCTTGAAATTCCCAGTACCAGGGAATCCATGAGTCCCATAGTCCTAAGGGCCTTTCCTACTATACAGGATATCACTATTTCATGCCCCAGTAGAGTGTTTGACAGGAGAGACTGCAAGGCTTGGGAAAGTGTCCCAGGATTCAGAGACAGGCTTTGGGGGAATATGACTTCTAACTCTGACTCATCCCAGGTGAATTATCCTGTCCAGTTACTTGATGTGCCACTGAGTTTCTTTTTCTCCATCTCTAATTTGGAGAGTGTCAGATGCCAGCAAGATGGGAGGTTGATAATAAAAGATGAAAAAATCCCTCACTGCAATCTGGGACTGGGGATGCTTTTGTCCTTGGGATAGACACTGCCACCTGCCCTGCAGGCAGTGACCACACCAGCATGTCCAGCCTTCCACTGAGGCAGGCATGACTGTCTCTTCTCAGAATGTGAAGAGGACAAAGACATCATAGACTCTGCGCTGAGGGATGAAGTGCAGTTCATAGAGGAGAAGCTGGCAGAGAAGCTCAGGTAAGCGGAGGAGCTCAGGTGAGCAGACGCCGTGGGGACAGTCAGGTGGGCAGGGCTGTGATCTCTGAAGTACAGCAGTTCAGCTGGGAGAAGCAGGAGCTAAGCTGGGCCAGGACAAGGGCAGGCATTTCCATGGCAGGCACATTTCACAAAAACACTCATAAAACAGAACAGTAATCTTAGCAAGTTATGGGTTGCAGTTGTTTCTTGAGCTTTCTTTTCTCGTCTTAAAACAACTAATTGTTGAGTTGAAATTTGCAAATCCAAAATTCATTAAAAGAAAATGAACCACCCAGCAGCATTTAATACACTCAAAATGGTGTGTGATCACCACCCATTTAGTCTCAGTCAGAGTCACCTCCTGGCTGACAGTTTTTGCTCTTAAGGATTCTAAACTGCCGGGGGATGTTGATTAAGTTCTTCACAACCGTAAGTCAACAATTCCAGCTGTTGTCATCCCTCAGTCCTGATGAAACCTAGTTGATTTCACTAGTTTTTGATCCATCATGTGCTTGAGTTTCTTCTCCCCAGTCCCTGTTTGAACTCTCCTGCCACAAACATCAGCATGGTGGTAACTGCCACACCTTTGTCCCATTACAGGACAGAGATGAAAATCCTAGAAATCAACCAGGAGTTGCGCTCCCAGCTGGCAGAGAGCCAACAGCAGTTGGCAGACGTCAAGGAGAAATTTCTTATAAGTCAAGCTACTGCCGACTCTCTGGCCAAGCAACTGAATAAACATGGTAAGCTCTATAGATTCACCATGACGAAAGTGATGAATCAGCACCTGTCTTCTCTCTGAGATACTGAACAGTCTCTTCATCAAAATTAATTTCTTCCTTTCCTTAGTTCTAGGAAAACAGAAACAGGTATTTTAACTTCACTGTGTTAGGGATGGAAAAGAGGGGCACAATGTATTTAGAAACTTTTCGATGCTAGCAGTCTGATGTGAGGTGGGACTAGAGTTAAAATCCTGCTTACTGACCTCTGACACAGGCACAGACCACATGCTCTTCTCAGCAAGATGCTCAATCATGTTTATGAGAACGCTCTCTGTACCTTAGAATATTCTGCAGACAAATAACATCTAGTCTGTTGGTCTAAAGGCCTGGAACTAATGAACCGCCATTCCATTTAAGCTTCTTTGAGGCCCAATAGGCAAACCTCTGTTCAGGGAACCCCGGGGGCAACATGGCAACAGTACAGAGTACTTCTACTAAGGAGCTTAAAGAGGAGACTGCTCCCAATAGTAGGAGTGGCATCCATAAGCAACAGCATGAAGAGCCGGGAGAACGCAGGGGAGACGGATGCCCTGGCTCTTTTTCTAAAGAGGAAGAAAGACAACACGTAAGACACTGGGAGGTATCCGTGCTGTGTGCAGAGCAGGGAGCCTGGGCAAGTCTCCTGAACTCCATCCAAGTGGCTTATCATCTCTGTGCCTCAGTTTCCTCATCTGTTCATTGGGTACTATTATAATACCTACCTCTGTAAACTGCTGCAATGAATTATATGACCTGCTTCTTCTAAATTTCCAAGAACAATTCTTGGCACAGAGAAAACACTATCTGTTAGTTCTTCATCCTACTGTTTCTAACCTATTTCAAACTTTATTAGTATTTGGTTATATTTCTATGATGACTTTAGGGTCTTAGACCTAATATTTATACAATTATATTCAGATATGACTTTTAAAATCTTTGATATATTTGTGCTTGAAATTCCCAGTACCAGGGAATCCATAGTCTGTTGGTCTAAACAGGCCCATAGTCCTAAGGGCCTTTCCTACTATACAGGATATCACTACTTCATGCCCCAGTAGAGTGTTTGACAGGAGAGGCTGCAAGGCTTGGGAAAGTGTCCCAGGATTCAGAGACAGACTTCAGGGGCTGTGACTTCTGACTCTGCCTCATCCCAGGTGAATCATCCTGTCCAGTTACTTGATGTGCCACTGAGTTTCTTTTTCTCCATCTCTAATTTGGAGAGTGTCAGATGCCAGCAAGTTGGGAGGTTGAGAATAAAACATGAAAAAGTCCCTCACTACAATATGATACTGGGGATGCTTTTTTCCTTGGGATAGACACGGCCACATGCCCTGCAGGCAGTGACCACACCAACATGTCCAGCTTTCCACTGAGGCAGGCATGACTGTCTCTTCTCAGAATGTGAAGAGGACAAAGACATCATGGACTCTCTGCTGAGGGATGAAGTGCAGTTCATAGAGGAGAAACTGGCAGAGAAGCTCAGACAAATTGAGAAACTCAGGTGAGCAGATGTCTTGGAGACAGGCAGGTGGGTAGGGCTGTGATCTCTGAAGTACAGCAGTTCAGCTGGGAGAAGCAGGAGCTAAGCTGGGCCAGGACAAGGGCAGGCATTTCCATGGCAGGCACATTTCACACAAACACTCGTAAAACAGAACAGTAATCTTAGCAAGTTATGGGTTGCAATTGTTTCTTGAGCTTTGTTTTCTCTTCTTAAAACAACTACTTGTTGAGTTGAAATTTGCATATCCAAAATGCATTAAAAGAAAATGAACCACTCAGCAGCATTTAATACACTCAAAATGGTGTGTGATCACCACCCATTTAGTCTTAGTCAGAGTCACCTCCTGACTGACTGTTTAGGATGCTCAGGCATCCTAAAGGCTGTTTTTGCTGTTAAGGATTCTAAACTGCCGTGGGGTGTTGATTAAGTTCTTCGCAACCGTAAGTCAACAATTCCAGCTGTTGTCATCCCTCGGTCCTGACTAAACATAGTTGCTTTCACTAGTTTTTGATTCCTCATGTGCTTGGGTTTCTTCTCCCCAGTCCCTGTTTGAACTCTCCTGCCACAAACATCAGCATGGTGGTAACTGCCATACATTTGTCCCATGACAGGGCAGAGATGGAATTCCTAGAAATCCTCCAGGAAGAGAGCCAACTGCAGTTGAAAGACATCAAGGAGAAATTTCTTAGAAGTCAAGCTATGGCTGACTCTCTGGCCAAGCACCTGAAGAAATATGGTAAGCTCTATAGATTCACCATCACGGAATTGATGAATCAGCACCTGTCTTTTCTCTGAGATACTGAACAGTCCCTTCATGAAAATTAATTTCATCCTTTCCTTAGTTCTAGGAAAACAGAAACAGGTATTTTAACTTCATTGTGTTAAGGATGGAAAACAGAGGCACTACGTATTTAGCCACTTTTCCACATTAGCAGTCCAATGTGAGGTGGGACTACAGTTAAAATCCTGCTTACTGACCTCTGACACAGGCGCAGAACCACTTACTTTTCTCAGCAAGATGCTCAATCATGTTTATGAGAACGCTCTCTGTACCCTAGAAGATCCTGCAGACAAATAACATCTAGTCTGTTGGTCTAAAGGCCTGGAACTAACAAACTGCCATTCCGTTTAAGCTTCTTTGAGGCCCAATAGGCAAACCTCTGTTCAGGGAACCCCGGAGAAACGTGGCAACAGTACAGAGTACCTGCTCTAAGGAGCTTAAAGAGGAGACTGCTCCCAAGAGTAACGGTGTCATTCATAAGTGACAGCATGAAGAGCCGGGAGTACCCTGGGGAGAGGGAAGTCCTGCTTCCTGGGGCACAACCTCTTTTTCTAAAGGAAAAGAAAGACAACACATAAGACACTGGGGAGGTAACAGTGTCGTGTGCAGAGCAGGGGGCCTGGGCCAGTCTCTGGGCTCCGTCCAAGTGGCCTATCTTCTCTGTGCCTCAGTTTCCTCATCGATACATTGGGTATTGTAATAATACCTATCTCTGTAAATTGCTGCAATGAATTACATGACGTGTTTCTTCTAAATCTAGAACAATTCATGGCACAGAGAAAACTCTACCTATTAGTTCTTCATCCTACTGTTTCTAGCTTAATTCAAACTTTATTAGTATTTGGTCATAATTCTATGTTGACCTCAGGGCCTTAGCCCTCACATTTATGCAATTATATTCAGATATGACTTTTAAAATCTTTGACATATTTGTGCTTGAAATTCCCAGTACCAGGGAATCCATGAGTCCCATAGTCCTAAGGGCCTTTCCTACTATACAGGATTTCACTACTTCATGCCCCAGTAGAGTGTTTGACAGGAGAGGTTGCAAGGCTTGGGAAAGTGTCCCAGGATTCAGAGGCAGACCTCGGGGGCTGTGACTTCAGACTCTGCCTCATCCCAGGTGAATCATCCTGTCCAGTTACTTGATGTGTCAATGAGTTTCTTTTTCCCCATCTCTAAGTTGGAGAGTGTCAGATGCCAGCAAGTTGGGAGGTTGATAATAAAAAATTTAAAAATCCCTCATGGCAATCTAGTACTGGGGATGCTTTTTTCCTTGGGATAGACCCGGCCACCTGCCCTGCAGGCAGTGACCACACCAGCATGTCCAGCCTTCCACTGAGGCAGGCATGACTGTCTCTTCTCAGAATGTGAAGAGGACAAAGACATCATAGTCTCTGCGCTGAGGCATGAAATACAGTTCACAGAGGAGATGCTGGCAGTGAAGCTCAGGCAAACTGAGGAGCTCAGGTGAGCAGACGCCGTGGGGACAGGCAGGTGGGCAGGGCTGTGACCTCTGAAGTGCAGCAGTTCTACTGGGAGAAGCAGGAGCTAAGCTGTGCCAGGACAAGGGCAGGCATTTCCATGGCAGGCACATTTCACAAAAACACTCATAAAACAGAACAGTAATCTTAGCAAGTTATGGGTTGCAATTGTTTCTTGAGCTTTGTTTTCTCTTCTTAAAACAACTACTTGTTGAGTTGAAATTTGCATATCCAAAATTCACTAAAGGAAAATGAACCACCCAGCAGCATTTAATACACTCAAAATGGTGTGTGATGACCACCCATTTAGTCTTACTCAGAGTCACCTCCCGACTGACTGTTTAGGATGCTCAGGCATCCTAAAGGCTGTTTTTGCTGTTAAGGATTCTAAACTGCCGTGGGGTGTTGGTTAAGTTCTTCGCAGCCGTAAGTCAACAATTCCAGCTGTTGTCATCCCTCAGTCCTGACTAAACATAGTTGATTTCACCAGTTTTTGATCCATCATGTGCTTGGGTTTCTTCTCCCCAGTCCCTGTTTGAACTCTCCTGCCACAAACATCAGCATGGTGGTAACTGCCACACCTTTGTCCCATGACAGGGCAGAGATGGAAATGGTAGAAATCGTCCAGGAAGAGAGCCAACTGCAGTTGGAAGACGTTAAAGAGAAATTTCTTATAAGTCAAGCTACTGCCGACTCTCTGGCCAAGCAACTCAAGAAATATGGTAAGCTCTACAGATTCACCATCACGAAAGTGATGAATCAGCCCCTGTCTTCTCTCAGAGATACTGAAGAGTCTCTTCATCAAAATTAATTTCTTCCTTTCCTTAGTTCTAGAAAAACAGAAACGGGTATTTTAACTTCATTGTGTTAAAGATGGGAAACAGAGGTACTACGTATTTAGCTACTTTTCCATGTTAGTGGTCTGATGTGAGGTGGGACTAGAGTTGAAATCCTGCTTACTGACCTCTGACACAGGCGCAGAACCACTTGCTCTTCTCTGCAAGGTGCTCAATCATGTTTATGAGAACGTTCTCTCTACCCTAGAAGATCCTGCAGACAAATAACATCTAGTCTGTTGGTCTAAAGGCCCGGAACTAACAAACTGCGATTCCGTTTAAGCTTCTTTGAGGCCCAATAGGCAAACCTCTGTTCAGGGAATGCCGGAGAATCGTGGCAACAGTACAGAGTACCTGCTCTAAGGAGCTTAAAGAGGAGACTGCTCCCAATAGTAACAGTGGCATCCATAAGTAACAGCATGAAGAGCCGGGAGAACCCTGGGGAGAGGAAAGTCCTGCTTCCTGAGGCACAGGCTCTTTTTCTAAAGAGGAAGAAAGACAACACGTAAGACACTGAGAAGGTAGCAGTGCCGTGTGCAGAGCAGGGGGCCTGGGCCGGTCTCCTGGGCTCCATCCATGTGGTCTATCTTCTCTGTGACTCAGTTTCCTCATTTGTTCATTGGGTACTATTATAATACCTACCTCTGTAAATTGCTGCAATGAATTACATGACGTGTTTCTTCTAAATCTCCTAGAACAATTCTTGGCACAGAGAAAACACTATCTGTTAGTTCTTCATCCTACTGTTTCTAATTTATTTCAAACTTTATTAGTATCTGGTCATATTTCTATGATGACTTCAGGGCCTTAGGCCTCATATTTATACAATTATATTCAGATATGACTTTTAAAATCTTTGACATATTTGTGCTTGAAATTCCCAGTACCAGGGAATCCATGAGTCCCATAGTCCTAAGGGCCTTTCCTACTATACAGGATTTCACTACTTCATGCCCCAGTAGAGTGTTTGACAGAGAGAGAGGCTGCAAGGCTTGGGAAAGTGTCCCAGGATTCAGTGACAGACATTATTTCACAAATATGTATGACTATATTTCACAATGAGATAATGCCCCTTGCTGTGTGATGTTGGAGAAGGCACTTGATGTGGGGGCATTGGTAGTGGGAAGTGGTCTAGACTGGAGCACTCCCCATGGAGAGAGTGTCCCTGGATAGCACAGTGGAAGTCACTTGGAGGACCCATGAAGTCCCCGATGTATGGAGTATTGTGGGACAAGTTTGTCCTGTCCTAAGAGAAACATACAGGTTGTAATGCAAGCTGTGAGAGGACACAGAGCCTGTGCCAGGGCATCAGAACAGTGGCAGGATTGGGGAGACAGCTGCTGAAGCTTAGAGAGAGGCTGGACAAGCCTCCAGTAATGTGGGGAGCAAGAAGTCTTTTCAATATTTGGCCACATCTTGATTGTGACCCTCCAGTTCACAAACACATTCCCTCATGGATCAGAACATGCCAGGGCATTCTTTAGAGATAAACAGGAGAGTTTTCAGCACAATGCAGACCCATACATGGATGTTCATGTCTCAGTGCACATAGGGCTGACTGTGCTTCCAGTGGGTGAAGTGGGAAATATCTGAATAGATGCTTCTGTATTTGTAGAACGTGATAAAGATGAAGATAAAGATGTTACAGATGAGGAGGTCGAGAAGGTGCAGGAATCAGCTCCCCTCAGGTAACACTGAATAATCAGGAGTGGGTAATGGTTGGTAAAATATGGAAAAGATCTCAGAAAGAACACAATGTAGGTAAAGGTAGTCACAGATTCCAGATGCAGGATACAGACAGCTGCAGAGTGCACTGATTTCATGCACTCACCAACAAGGAAATAGCCCTGTGAACATGCGTGTCCATTGTCTTCATGGCACATGTAAGCATGACCCTCGATGAACTCACTCGCCCTAGGAACTTCCTGCACACACAGAAGAAACCTGTCCTCCCATGTAGTGAAGCCAGGATGAGATGGAAAGCCGCTTTCCACATGGTTGTCCTTAGACTCTTGTTGGGGAAGCTAAATAAATTGACAAGAAGCAGAGGAATTAGAAAACGCCTATCAAAGTTAAACATCAAGAAAAGTGCCCAGGAAAACTTTATATTTCACATCACAATGTTAAAATTAAAAAAAAATCTACAAGGCACGCCATCCCTGGAGTCTACCAAGGCTCAGACACCTGTATTCCCTTGGGAATTATCATGTTTGCAAGTATTAGATAGAAGGAAAGGCAATAAAAATAGCTCATGTCATGCTCACAGTTTTGAGGACAAGTGATGTTGAGGATAAAGGAACTCTTTCTATCAAGATTCAACAACCTGTATTCAATTGGCCTCTGATGCTAGTTGCAACAAAATGTATGCAGAAGTGCTGAATGCACTGTGTCCTGGCAGTTTCCCACAGGGATCCCTCCATCTCCTTCCTCCCCAGCTCACTGTCTGTGCAGTGCACTGAGCACCTGCTGCTCTGTCTCCTGCTTGAGACAGGGAAGAATACGTGTGTCTCTCTGAGGGCACTGCATTGGCTTCCGCTGGCCTCTCCTGTGGTCCTCCCTCTAGAACCAGCAGGGCGCAGTGGTTTTGGTCCTGTCCAGTGTTTATTCTCTGTCGTCTTTACTCCAGGCTGAGCCAGGAGCTGCCAGAGGTAAAAGAGCTGGAAGCCCCAGAAGACTCCTTGGATGAAATTTACTTGACTCCTTCAGTTCAACATGACCTGTCTGACTGCCACCAGCCTGATAGCGGCACCTTGTCTTCCCTGGATGATCAGTTCACATGCTGTGCTCTGGATGTAGCCTGTGAGTACCCCAGCCTGAAGGTCACAAAGCTTCAGTGTCTTCCCAGGCAGCCTCCATATGTTTTCTTTCTGCAACTTGTGCTGCTGAGACAGGCTGTCAGTGCAGGCAGGCCATCGACACTGAGCCTGTTTTCAATCTGGCTCTGGGATGCAGTTTGGTCACATCCATCCAGAGGGTGAAACTTCCTCTACTCCTGTCCCAAGTGACTCCTCTGTGACCTGGCTCCTTCCTACTGTGGACATGAAAGCTGGAAAGGGGTTAGGGCTTTTAGCAAGTTCTTGCCCACAGTAGCTCATCTAGATATATTTGCACAAGAAACCTTCTTCTTTAAGACCTGGAATCTCTCCTTTCTGAAAATCTGTCGTTATCTACATGCCTTCAACAGTGCCATTATCTCTTCTCCGGCCACCCACACATGCAGGCAGTTTGGCACAACTATTTCACTTCAGGGACACCCTAGCCCTGGAACCCCAGCCCCTGTCAGTGTCCCCAGGCACAGGAGAGGTGACATCGCCTGCGTTTACAGGATGTCTGTGTGGCCTGGGTCACTGGAAGGCTTTAGTGAGAAGCAGGGACAGCAAAGATGTGTGTTCTGGGTGTGTTTACCAATGGGAAAACTGAGATTGTTTCTACTGAAGCCCTTTTTTTTTCAGCTCCCACCCAGGAGACCTGTCCCCAAGGGACTTGCAGTGGAGACTTGAGCCACTACCTGTCAGAGGTGCAGGCTTCACAGACACAGCTGGAACCAAACACCCTGGTGCCCGTTTCTTTGGGACTACAGCTGGATCAAGGGATCGACTGCGGGAATGGCTTAGCCAGGCAGGGCCTTTCCACCACCTGCAGCTTCACAGCCAATCCTGATTCTGGGACCCAATGTCCCTTCCAAGGTAGGGAAGGAAAGGGGAATAGGAAGGTCTAGTCCAGGTCTTGGTGGTCACAGTGCTATGGGTGGAGGAGAGAATGGGTCCTCTTCGTGCTCACTCAGGATCAAGTTGAAATCCATGATGCTCCAACCCAGTGAGGTGAGCAAGAGCCTGGGGCTTAGGACAAAATCTGCTCTCAGGTCCTGGGTTTCCCTCTTTCTGGTTGTTCACTTTGGCCTAAGAATTTGTCTTTTGGGGATATAAATCTCTGTCTCCTCATTGGACCTACCTAAAAAATAGTATCTACACATAATCATTGTTGGGAGTATTATTATAATTTCTAAAGGACCGGATTCAATAACAATTTCTCAATAAACCTATATATAGCTGTTATCTAATCCACTTATCTTTCTACCAAATTTACACTTAGAAAGTGACTTCACAGACTATGCCTTCTCTGAGGTAGAGCAATTGTGACGCTCCCTGTTTTCTAGAGACCCCTCTTCCCTTCATTTTTCACACATACCCCTCCGCCTGTTTTCTTCTTCTTCCTCCCCATGCCTCGTGAAGCCAAATCTCCACTATGAGGCACTTTCATTGACCTATGAGGTCAGTATATATCCTGGGCCCACAAGTCAGTGTCATGACATGTCCAGCTCCTTTTTCTCCTTTTGGTCTTTTTTCTTTTTCTGTGTGTGGCTCTTTTTGAAAACAAAGGGAAACTTTCACACAAAAAGTATTAACATCAGTCTCTTTTATGAAAATCCATTGAGTTCATCATCTCCACTCATGTCCAGAGCCTTGTCCTCAGTTTCCATCTCACAGGGATCCACTTGGGTTCAGATTCCCTTAAAACCCTGGGTCGTGTTCATTCTCACTCTCCATCGCACTCAATATCACCTCCTGAGCCCCTGGGGCTGCCTGCTCCTCATCTGTCAGGGGATGTCCACAGCTGAAGAATGAGGGGACCCCTGTCCTCAGGAGGAGGGATGGTCACATGAGATAACAAGCATTATCTGTGTCCCTGGAGAAGACACACGGATGGTGCTCAGTGGTTGTCGGGAGATAGGCAGTCCCTTACAGGTGCCAGGATAACTTATTTAAACTGATTTCTTCCCACTGGAACCTCCTTTGCTTCTCTATGGATTCTCACACCCCCAGCCAAGACTCACCCCAGTGGCTCACACACACTCTTTCTTACTCATGTTCCCTGGAGTCTAGAGACTGAATCAGGCTCCAGGTAAGAGGACAGTGAATGCTTTTGTCTCATTTATATTTTCCTTCAGCTGGTGATTTCTCCTGCTTTCTAATAGGTCATTTGTTTCTCCCACACCTGTTCTTCCTCATTGTGGTCAGGCTTCTAATTTTTCTTCCAATTTCAGTAAACCAGAATAGTGATTATAATGTTACATTCAATATCTCCCACCTTCCTGTATAACAGGTTTTCATTCGATTATGTCCAGATATATAAATGGATGTCATTTATCACATATATTATGTATATTTCGTGTGTATGCTACATCGGGTGTATATGTATATGCAATAGGCCTTATAATGATGCAAGTTTTGTAAATTCTCCAGGTTTAGGCTTCCCCGGTTCTTTTCTCTCATCAGCTGCTGTAACCTCTGCCTGGTCTCACCTCTGTGTCCCATGGGCTGCCACCCAGCCAGGCCCTTCCATCCCCATCTCCTGTTTGCACTCAGCTCTGATTTAACTTTCACTTTTGAAATCTCTTCCCTCCCCAAAGCACAGACTACATGCAGGGAGTTTCCTTGCTTTTGCCTTATCTACCTGGAAGCTATTTGTGTTTCTTAATCCTGTATTTCTTGACTATTTTTGTGAATCAGGAGTGCCTTGTCCTCCTGACAATCTTGTCCTTACCGAGTAATGGAAGAAAGATCAACAAAAAGAAAATATTAAAGTCACTCTATTGGCTTCCCCTCACACTTTGGACTTTCTTGTCCAAGGCCACATTCCTGGTTTGACGTCCTTTGGGTGGAAGAGAAAGTCACAGTAAGATCATGGATGTCAGTGGGTGTCATTGGCTGTCATTTTGTTTTCAGAGCTGGTTTTAGAGCCCTCTGTTGGGATGAAGAACCCTCCGCAGCTGGAAGGTGATGCACTCGAAGGATCAGCGGACAACACACAAGGGCATCACGTCACTGGCTGCATTCATGCCTCAAGTGTTTTGAAACCCAAGATGATTAAAAGAAAACTGTGGTTCAGCAAGTGGATTCCCAGGCCTTCATGCTTAGGGCGCAGAGGTAATCCCATCTATGACTCTTAGCTGCACTCACTTCTTATTTCTCTCTGTCTGTGGTGACAGCTCATTCTCCCACTGCTTCTTCTCTTCCATTTGTTCTCTCCAGTGGCTGCTGTAACCTCTGTCTGGCCTTAACTCTGTGTCCCATGAGCTCCCACCCTGCGAGGCCTTTTCTGTCCCCATCTCCTCATTGCTCTCTGAACTCTGCTCTATTTCTTATTCTGCTGTCTTCAGAGTACATCTCACAGCCACAGGAGAGCCAGACCTCCTTGTCCTCACCCACATCCACAGTTTAAGCTGCTGAACACGGGTTTCTTTGACTGGAATTGCACACTCTCCTGGGAAATTTACCTTTCCTCCCAGCATCCCCAACCCCATTGTCTTTTTCTGCAGGGAGCATTGCCTTAATGCCTCATTTACCCAGTGAGGTGAGCAAGAGCCTGGGGCTCTAGGACAAAATCTGCTGTCAAGTCCTGAGTTTGTCTCTTTCTGGTTGTTCACTTTGGCCTAAGATTCTGTCTTTTGGGAATGTAAATCTGTTTCCTCATCAGAGCTACCTAAAAAATAGCATCTACCTGTAATCCTTGTTGAGAGTATTAATTATTATCATTTCCAAAGGGCCTGATTCAATAACAATTGCTCGAGAAACCTATAAATAGCTGTTATCTAATCCACTTGTCTTTCTGCCAAATTTACATTTAGAAAGTGACTTCACAGACTATGTCTTCTCTGAGGTAAAGCAATTGTGACGCTCTCTGTTTTCTAGAGACCCCTCTTTTCTTCTTTTCTCACACTTACTCCTCTGCCAGTTTTCTTTCTCTTCTTCCCCATCCCTCATAAGGCCAAATCTCCAATCTGAGGCACTTTCAGTGACAACCTATGAGGCACATTCAGTAACAGTGTCAATCCTGGGCCCATGAGTCAGTCTTATAACATGTTCAGCTCCTTCTTCTCCTTTTATCTGCTTTTGTTGAAAACAAAGGGCTACTTTCAAACAGAAAGTATTCACATCAGTCTCTTTTATGAAAATGTATTTAGTTCATCATCTCCACTCATGTCCATGGCCATGTCCTCAGTTTCCATCTCACAGAAGCCAATTCTGCTCAGATTTTCTTAAAACCCTGGGTGGTGTTCATTCTCACTCTCTGTTCCACTCAATATCTCCTCCTGCAGCCCCTGGGGCTGCCTCATGCTGATCTTTCAAGCAAAGCCCTTAGCGGAGGAATAAGGGGACCCCTGTCCTCAGGAGGAGGGAGGGTCATGTGAGAAAATGGGCACCATATGGGCCTGTGGAGAGGACACATGGAAGCCACTCAGCAGGTGTCAGGGGATGTGCAGTCCATGACACGTGCCGTGATAACTTATTTAAACTGATTTCTTCCCACTGGAACCTCCTTTGCTTCTCTATGGATTCTCACATCCCAGCCAAGACTCACCCTACTGGCTCACACACTCTCTCTTACTCATGTTCCCTGGAGTCCAGAGCCTGAACAGGCTCCAGGTAAGAGGACAGTGAATGCTTTTGTCTCATTCATATTTTCTTCAGCTGGTGATTTCTCCTGCTGTCTAAAGATCATTTGTTTTTCCCACACCTTTTCTTTCTCATTCTTCTCATGTTTCTATTTTTTTCCCAATTTGAATGAAAAAAAAAATAGTAATTATAATGTTACATTTACTATTTCCCAAATCTCTATATAATATTTTTTATTAGATTAATACTTAAAGATATATGCATTGAAGTAATTTATCATGTATATTATGTATATTTCATGTGTATGCTACATAGGGTGTGTATATATATATATATGCAATAGATCATATAAAGATGAAACTTTTGAAAATTCTCCAGGTTTAGTGTTACCTGGTTCTTTTCTCATCAGCTGCTGTAACCTCTGTCTGGTCTCACCTCTGTGTCTCATGGGCTGCCACCCTGCCAGGCCCTTCTATCCCCATCTCCTGTTTGCAGTCAGCTCTGATTTAACTTTTATAATCTCTTCTCTCCCCAAAGCACAGACTACAAGCAGGCGGGTTTCCTTGCTTTTGCCTTATCTACCTGGAAACTATTTGTGTTTCTTAATCCTGTGTTTCTTGACTATTTTTGTGAATCAGGAGTGCCTTGGCCTCCTGACATACTTGTCCTTACTGAGTAATGGAAGAAAGATCAACAAAAAGAAAATATTAAAGTCACTCTATTGGCTTCCCCTCACACTTTAGACTTTCTTGTCCAAGGCCGCATTCCTGATTTGATGTCCTTTGGGTGGAAGAGAAAGTCACAGTAAGATCATGGATGCCAGTGGATGCCATTGGCTATTGTTTTATTTTCAGAGCTGGTTGTAGAGCCCTCTGTTGGAATGAAGAACCCTCCACAGCTAGGAGGCGATGCAGTTGAAGGCTCAGCAGACAACACACAGGGGAACCAAGTCATTGGACACATTCATGCCTCAAGTGTCCTGAAACCAAAGGCTATTAAAAGAAAACTCCGGTTCAGCAAGTGGATTCCCCGGCCTTCATGCTTGGGGCGCAGAGGTAATCACATCTATGACTCTTAGCTGCACTCACTTCTTATTTCTCTGTGTCTATGATGTCAGCTTATCCTCTCACTTCTTTTCCTCTTCTATTTGTTCTCTCCAGTGTCTGCTATAACCTCTGTCTTGTCTTCCCTCTGGGTGGCACCTCCCCCAACCACCAGGCCCCATCTCCTCTTTGCTCCCTGAACTGTTCTAGTTCTTCTCCTTCTGCTGTCTTGAGAGTTTCTCTCGTGACCACAGGAGTGCCAGGCCTCATTGTCTTCATCCAACTGTATAGTTAAGCTGCTGAACACAGGGTTCTTTGCTGGAATTGCACAATCTCCTGGGAAATTTACCTTTCCTCCCAGCATCCCCAACTCCATTATCTCTTTCTGCAGAAAGCATTGCTTTAATACATCATTTACACATAGGTTTTTCTCTTGATTCGGCTTTTAAGCAACCCAACTGATTCAACCCTTAATCTTCCCTTGTTCCTCTGAATGAGAAGTGTTAAAACTGAGCACAAAGAGCCCCATTTAGAAAACTCAACTCGAATCAGGTGGCAGTTTCCTACTGGCCTGGAGTCAGGTTTGTCTTCAGCTCCAGATCTGCAGAATTGTCCAATGTAGATGGAGTTGCCGGGGACTCAGTGTTCTCACCTCATGGACTCATTTGAGCTGACATTAACTGGGGGACATTTTTGATCCTCTAAAGTGACATCACTTCAAAAGTACACACAGAGGGCAGGACTTCAAAACTGCATACATCGTGAGGTACATCATTCCAACCTCTCTCCTTTTTATTCTCATTTCCACTTCTACAAGTCCAGTTAATGGCCTAAAATGCAACTCAGATGAAACTGGAGGCCAGTTTATATGAGATAGCATTTTCTGAATTTATGTTTAGAAAAGTGACTCCACGACCAGCTTTATGCATGCACAAGATGACAGGCAAGACCTGCCCAGTTGATAAGAGAGAAATTTCATTGAAGTTGTCAGAGAGAAGGCTAAAATCCATGGAACTCCTAGGAACAAAACTGACCATGAGATGGTCAGCAAAAGGAAAGAAAATGGTGGTAAATTGGGTTGTTCTATTTAGTATCTCTATCTCCTGCTGCCATGTAATAAACACCTGGTGAGATTTCAATGAAGATGAATGCCTTGAACTCACACCTTGAGATTCTCACTTACATGGCCTTGGGGTGTGGTTTGGGTGTGTGTAGTTCTACAACAGTCCCATGTGCCTCTAATCCATTGCTAAATATAAGACCACTGGTCTTCTATGATCTCAGGTTACCAACATGGAAGTGCCCCATATGTGCAGCCACTCCAAAGGCTGAGCCTCCGTCAGGCTTTGATGAGACCTATATTCCCCTCTCAACAGTACTGTTTGCATAGCATAGAAAAAATCAAGAAGAAAAACAAGAAAATTAATAGATTAGACCTTTAGCCTCTGCCTGAAGCTCACTTGGTCAATTTAGAATACAAGATAAAGTGAGAAATAGTCATTACATTAACATCTAATGTACAGAAATAATATTTCTGTACCTATTACATATAGTGGAATTTAGTATTTTCTTTGGCAGTTTAAAATAAAACTTCCAGTTTACATTTAACCACAGATTTTACCGTGCACTAATTGGCTCAGCCCTGCAATGGGAACATTTTACTTTTGGTCAGTTATTGTCCTTCCGCAAAGCCCTGAAAGAAAACTTACTGGCTTCACTCTCCTGAAGAGAATGCAATAACAAATCAAGACTGAAATTCTGCAAGAGCTCATATGTGAATACTTCTTTATGCCACTCTTGACACTGACATTAAATATTAAAAAATAAACTTTCCCCAAAATGTACTTTGGAAAAACAATGAGTGGGAGGGGAGAATGTAGTAAAACAGAAACTAATCCTTTTCACTTTGGACTTCAGGGTTTTGTTGGTGTAGATCAGGCGTCCCCAAACTTTTTACACAGGGGGCCAGTTCACTGTCCCTCAGACCGTTGGAGGGCCACCACATACTGTGCTCCTCTCACTGACCACCAATGAAAGAGGTGCCCCTTCCTGAAGTGCGGCGGGGGGCCGGATAAATGGCCTCAGTGGGCCGCATTCGGCCCACGGGCCGTAGTTTGGGGACGCCTGCTCTAGATATTGAGAAGATTTCTAGAAATCCGGTAAGGTGTAACCAGGTGTGGAATCAACTTCCAGGCATTAGGGAAAATAAGTAGGGTCATCATTACAGTCCCTGCTCTCTCTTTGCTAACTCCATTTGGAATGTCTTTTTTTCCTTTAATTTTCTTTCCTCATCCTCTTTGAAAGAATACTTATAAATATATTTGGTTTTTCTTTAAAAAATTATTTTAACCAACCAAACAAGCACCACAGGCATTATATCTCTTATTTTTTTTGTAAAACCTTATTTCTGTTCCAGCCAAGGTGACCCAACAGCCTCTCATGACTGTTGAGACCTCCAGATTGGAGCCTTTCCTCTGTCTTCCTCCAATATTTTTGAAAGGGCCTTAGTTTGTGGGTTCTAATTCCTGGGTTTTCAATAACAAGTCATGTGGCCTTAGTTCAATCGTATCCCAGTGGCATCACTACGCCTCTGTTTTAAAAGCTGGAAGTGGACGTGGATGTTGTCTGAGGTTCCTGCTGCTTCTTATATCCAGAGTTCTTCCCATGGCCTCCTGCTCCTCCCTGGAAGACTGGGACATGGAGTTTAAGGGAGTGGGTTTCTCTGCAGAGGATCTTCCTTTTCTGCAGCCCTCTGTCTCAGCACGTATGATTGATGCTGAGC